GCTGTGTGCCCACACACTTGAAAATCCCCACCAACACATAAGCAAAGGAACCAAAAGGAATTAGGCCCCTAACTTCCATTGGCATTAACGGTGGGTTAGAAGCCAGATTCCCTTAGGTTGCTTTTAAAATCCTAAACATGATGTGTAATAATATGCTTGGTGTCAGTGGAAACTTGTTGGGTGAATCTATTTGGGGCCTCCATAAGAGTTTATGGCTTTTGTGTTCACCAGACACATAGTAATTTCATGTAAATGTGTTTGGTTGGGTCCTGATCTGTGCCTGAAGCTCTATGCTAATATTACTACTAAATAATAATAATAATAATAATGTAAATTTATTTGAATAGTGTCATTTGGGCTTAATATACTTATCATGACACAGGCAATTACTGCGTTTTGGAAATGGGACCTACAAGTCTCTCAGATAGTAAAGAGAAACAAATTGAAATGAAATGAATAGAGCAGTAAAAATAAAAACAGAAAAGCCTGGAAGCTAATAGTAAGTAAACTAGTCAGGTAAGTCTTGCTGCAAACTATAAAAAGATCATAATGGAAGGGTAGAGTAAAGGTGGTTGCACTGCGATTTTGAACCTTATCCCGCCAGATAAAAAACTTTGTTGCACATGCTGGGATTTCCTTAATAGAATTTCAGTATTTTAATTTTGAGTGGCTTGGCTTCAATATGCTTAGGACAGATAAAATTCATCAGAACTTGAAAACCAGATTTAACTGGAGGAAGTGACGCAGTGGACTGAAGGGAAATAGGATCTGATTGGTCAGCCCAGGTGAAACAATGACACCAAAACTTGGGGACAGTTACTGCAAGAAGACATGGAGCTAAGAAGAAGATGAGCTGAATGAGTAGAAAGTGCAGTAGGTGCAATGTCAAAGAGGTAGAGAAACCAAGCATGGAGAAGATTAACCCCCAGGAGAGCAGCTTGGAACTGGAGCTGAAGGTGATAGAGGGTATGTGGCTCTAGATGCTAGATCATAATTGTTCAGTAGAAAGTTAATTAGAAAATTGTTCAGTAGAAAATTAAATGCAACATAATGTTTAGAGTCTGTGGGCTGCTGTACCTGCAGATGCAAGGTAGACCACCTGCCTAGCAGCCCACCAGTGACTTACCCTGACAAACCGCATGGAACCCACTGGTCGCAGGTTGCCCACCACTTATATTTTTTGCCCATCTCTTTTGCCACATCACTCGCAAGTCTCTGCTTAAAGGTTAAAATTCTCACCCCCTCTTTGAAGGAACCACATCATTCTGCCCATGCTAACCTCTCTGTTCTCAATATTTTCCCCACCTCTTCTTTGCCCTTCTGCTGCAATAAAGGGTCCTTCACCACTCTCTGTTCTATGCTCTCTTTTTGCTTGGAATAAGCTCTCTAGCCCAGTGTTTCTCAAACTTTTTTATAAAGTACCCCCCTTAAAAAAAAATACCCCCAGTACCTATAGTTTACAGACGCATACAATTTTTTTCTACCATCGCAACATATTTGTTTAAACAACTAAATTGTAGCTGTGTGGGCGATGACATTTTTGGGTGTAAAAAGTACAAAAATAATAAAGTGCTTTAAACTTAAAACAAAAATTCAGTTTTCTCCAAATTTCAGTTGAGTTGATGTACCCCCCAGACTTCTCTCAAGTACTCCAAGGGTATTCGTACCACTGGTTGAGAAACACTGCTCTACCCCACTGCATCAGGCATAATCTTTTCAAATTCAAATCCTTCTTCAGATTTAAACACTGAAGCTTCAGAAAGGTACCCTGATTCAACGTGTCCGAGTTTTCGAAAGCATCTCTGTGTCTCATCTTTGTCTATTTTGATTGCAAGTTCCTTCAAACAGGGACCAGCTTTTTCTTTGTGTGTCTCATAGCTCTGAGAAAATTATTGGTACATCATAAAGAACAATAAAGTATTATCTGAGAAAAGCGCAGGGAGTTGGAAGAGATGAATTGTGTGTGTCCTTAAACAGTGCTTATTGCCATGGTAACCAGACACATGGAATGCAAAAACCATTAATTCCAGTCAACTTTTTGACATAAATAGTCTGTAGGATGCCATGAAGCACACTGATTCTGGTGCTGATAAACCATGGTGAAACATGACTTACAAAGGTGAAGGCCTTCAACTGACATGCTTTCCATGGCCCTTGAGGGAGTTAAAGGCTGCTAGGGCATAGTCACAAACTCAGATCCAGATGCAAACTTTAGAGGTGCATTGGGTTGGGGAATGGTTTGAATCTAGTATTCTGGTTTAAGGCTATGTCCATGTCTGCTAGGGACTGTAGTTTCACAATCCGTATTGCATACTTAGAAGACTTACCTGGTGTTCCTAAAATCCTTAACTCATTTTTTTGTTTTTCCAAGATAAAATGAAAATATACATGGCTTATTTGAATCATTGCTCTGGGGTGGTGCTGGGGATGAAGGGTTCATTATGCAGGCTGCCCTGGGGCGGGGGGAGGGGGAGAAGAGGACTACTCCAGCCCTCTCTCACTGCAGCAGCTACGGGCCAGGTGAGAAGCACCGCCCCATGGCCAGTGCAGTTCCAAAAGGCAGAGTCAGGGGAAGGGTGCATGTCACTCTGACAGGGCAGGTCCAGGGTCATCTGCCCCCTTAGCCCCACACCCAAAACAGGGAATGCAGCAAACTGTGCTTTTTCCTTTCACTCCCAGACTCAGGGGAACAGCCTGCAATGTTCCTGTATGGATCAGGAGGGAGGGAACTTCAGCTCCCCCACATTCTCTTCAGAGGGCCCTGGGGTGTGGAAGGCTTGGGTTGGGATACCCCCAAACAGCCCCCATTTTACCTGTCTGGTGATTTTCTTCTGTATGGTTTTATGAAAAGCAAGCCATCCCCCGCCAAGCACATCCTATTTTCCTGCCACAACCAAACCCTTACCTTTCTTTGTTATGATCAGAGCAGGGTTGGGCAATAATTTTTGATGGGGGCCACTCCAAGAATATGGTGAGTGTTTAAGGGCTGCATTCTTCCATTATATTAATGGATGAAGTGCAGGGTTTGGGGTGAAGGTTCGACGCAGAAGGGAGTGTGAGTCTGGGAGGGAGTTTGGGTGTAGGAGGCAGTTGTGAGTTGGGGATGCAGGGGTTTGGATTGTGACCTAGGACAGAAGAGGATTGTGGTCTGGGTTAGAAGTTTGGGGTGCAGGATCTGAGAGCGGTGTGTGGGTGGACAAGGGGGGAAGAGGGTTTGGGTTATGTGGGATGAGGGTCAGAGGGTTGGGGAAGGGAGTGCCAGAGGCAGGCTCTGGCCAGGAGACTTACCAGGGTGAGTCCTGGCCAGTAGCCCAGTAGGTTTCTCAGGCAGGCTGACTTTCCTGCCTCACCCCTGCACATGCTGCAGGGGCAATGTGCATGTATGAATAACTATGAGCCAGAGAGGAAGGAGGTGTGGTGCTTCATATGCTGCCTGTTATTCAAACAGGCAGCTCCCATTGGCCAGAAACCGGCCAATGGGATTGCGCTGAGGGTGGGGGCAACTCAAGAAGCTTTTCCCACTGCTCCCCTCTAGGCTCACAGTTGTGAAAGAGAAACAGGTAGGGCAAGGCAAGCAAGGGAGTCTGCCTGGGGCTCCCCACTGTGTCTGCAGGCTGGATCTGGTGGCTTGGCAGGCCAGATCCAGTCCACAGGCTGTATTTTGTCAAGCCCTGGATAAGAGGAAGTTACATACTGAATTTGGTGGGTCTAGCTCTTGCCTTTTAAGAGGAATTCTTGCATGGACAGGCACACAAACTCTCAAATATTTAGTAGATATATATTTGCTTATATATTAAAGGGACACCAACTAATTTATCCGGAATTATGAAAAGCATTTGTAAGAAAAAGTCTCTATTGCCTACTGATGCCCATCCATTGCTGGAGACCTGTTCCAAAACAGTCATCCTCTTTATAGTCAAGTAGAACAACTTAGTTTTACTGCCTTTTGACATTTTTATAGTACAACAGTGGCTTTGAGTGCTAAGAAGACAGTATTTTATCAGTCTTCAGGTGCTTAGGTATTGTTTCCCCTCTATAAAATATTCTAAAGCTATTCAATTCTGCCAAGATTTGTCTGCTGAGTTTGTCAGACAATGGAAGGTGAAGGTGCTCATGTTCTCACTAGAGTGGAGTCAAAACACTCAGAGCAGTGCTTCATTTTGTCTTGGGATTCAAACTTCTTGTATGGCAAAATTTTATTTAAAAAATAAACTTGACACTCTCTCTATTTTTTTTAAACATAAGCTGTTCTCCTTGCAAAAGTAGTCCAAATATAAGAGAAAACAGTTTCTTGCCACTTTAACCAGAAAGGACACTCTCTAAATGACTTAGCCACCTGCATTCTGCTACAAAGACCTTTTACATCTGCACTTGAAAGGGAATCCTCTGAACTGTCATTCATGTTAAAATTCGACACTTACCAACAAGGACTTAACAAGTCTTTGAACTTTCTCACCCATTACCAAGACAGTTTCCCCAATTATCACCTGTAATACCATTAACTCACAAACATCCCACTCTCCCTACCTTTAATATCAGCAATTCACAGACACTTACCTTCCTTCCTCCCCCTTCCCACCCCCCCGCATCCCCCTTCTGTTCTGCAATGTGATTTGTCCTTTTCATATTTGTTCATTTTTTTAAATTGTATCCTTTGGTATATATGGTTGTGACTACTTTCTTCCACTATTTGATCTGAGGAAGTGGGTCTGGCCCACGAAAGCTCATCATCTAATAAACCATCTTGTTAGTCTTTAAAGTGCTACATTCTCCTTAGTCCAGGTTGCCTACTTACCTAATTTTCATAATCTAGTTGTTCACCATCAAATATTTTATTATCTCTCCCCTGTACTTGGACTCGGTGGACCATTACACTGCCAATAATTTCCTACATTCTAATCTGAAATAAACAGTCTGCTATAAATCATTAACACTAAAATATAGTAAGTGTAAGAAGAATATAATGGATATTTTTATAACTCCTTTCCTTGTTTTTATAGGTAAATGTGAAAAAGGAGAAGATTGAAAACTGTCCTGGAAACTAAGTGCAGTAAAGAAGAGCCAGTGGAAAAAGTGAATGTAAGTATTTCAGTTTTTCACAAATAAAATGGTTTATGATTAGGAACCATAAAAATGATTCAGTAAATTAGCAGATTATACCAAAATACAGGTTTACTTTTGAAATTCCAGTACTTTTTATATTTCTGTTGAACATGGGACTAATTTGAGCACACCGAGAATGCTCAGTCGGGACTCATATTTTTATTAATAAAAAGAGAAACATTTTTTAAAAATCTGTGCATTTGTAGGCAGTACATGACTTAAACTATTACCAAGATCTTGTCAGTATTGTTAGGTATCCATATATCTGCTTAAAACAAAGAGGCAACAGTGGGCTGTCAGTAAAAACCCATTTTTAAAAAAGTGTTTAAAACACCAGTTGGGAGCCTTGAGTTACGTACAGTAGACATAGTTTCCATTTCAAATGGGATTTAGGTTTACATTGTATAATACAGTCCCAAAGGTAGTATTTCTACCGGTGTGTGGTTTTGGACTGGAGATTTGTATTTATAATGGAAAGAACTTGCACTGAATTTTGTATTTCTCTGTATGTAGAGTTTTCAATGCCTGATGTTTCAGTCTGAGAGCATTACTGTCCTTTGCAAGTCATTTTTGACAACTCTAGAGCCAACTATTTACAAACTAAGAACTCCAGATAATGTAAAATTCTTTGTAAAAATGTTATATTACCATCCATGTGTGGTTGTATTAATCTAATTAAAGACTTTCTTTTATTGCAATCTCTAATGAAATCACACACTATATTTTACTTATCCTCGCACTAGGAGTATTTGATAATATTGTTACCTTTCCTTACCTTACCTTATCATAGTAGTTATGATACCTCTTATTGGGTACATTAAGAATACATTATCTGTGTGTTATAGACTGGCTGCTGCTAATGGAAGTCCTCCTTTTGCTACAGTGTGCAGTGAGTGTACTTGCTGTCACTATGGCAGGCACTGAGAGGCTATAATGATCATGGTAACCGTTCTGCCACAGATTTTCTCCAATATTTTTAATTGGATTTTTCCAAACATCTCACCTCCTGTTTCCCATGGCTGCAGGTTTTTGTGAACTACTACCTAGTCACAAGTGTAAAAACCATAGGAAGACAACCTTGGTTTATAGCAGGGCTACTCTACATGCAGCCCGCGACCTACTTATTTGTGGCCTGTGGGTGAGAGCTAAAACAAAAAAGTAGTCAATATAATGGTCTTCTGTTGATATGCATTTTAGTAGTTAAATTCTTGGACTGTCATTGCTCATTACAAGTGTTTGTCATATGGGTGGGAATCGGGTAAATGTTGCATTTTATTAATATCAGCAGAACTGACTTAAATGGGGCCTGTGTGTTGTGTAGTCTTGCCTTAATCTTTATATTCAGGCCCTTCAGTGTGAAAGAAGCTATTTGCATATATATTTGCATGTATATACAACCACACTTAAGTTGTGGCCATTGGCACACGCTGTGAGTATCACTGTGGCTCCCAGGGCTTCCAAAGTTGAGTAGCCCTGGTTTTAGGATGTTGTCAAGAAGTTTTTGTGGTCCACTTAAATTAAGCAGTGATTCAACAGCAAGATATTTAAGATTAAGGTTTATTGATTCCATCTGCACTGACTAGATGTCCAGACAGCACGAACAGGTGCCTGCTCTTCACATCATCAGTGTAAACTTCACTAGAGAAGCTGAGGGTTGCTGGATCAACACTAAAAACTTCCTAGTATGCAGGGAAGTTACAACCTGGAAAGATTTACAGAGCTATCACTGGTTGTTGAAGTCTTGAAGAGCTGGTGGTGATGTTACTAAGGCATTACAATGACCCTGAATCATCGTGAGATTTTTTTGACAGTTTGTCAGAGAGGGGCAACTAGGCTAATGAGTATGCTTGCATAGCTAGAATTTGTGGGGTGTGCTTATTAAACCATAGCTGTGTTTTGATTGGAAGCAGAGGGAGCGCATGGCTCTCACAGTCAATGTTGTGTGCTACCAGCACACACCTCACTTCATGTGCATTGCTTTACATGTGTTCCGCTTTAGTAATACCAGTAGGAAAAAAATTATGTGGATGAAAACCAGCAGACTCTGGCAACCTTGTGTGTAGGTAATGGTAAATAAAATGCCTCGTAGGTAATGTTCCTTCTAAGCCACACAGCAGCACAGCTTCACAGGTGATTAATCAGCTCCGCCCAGTCAGAGGCTTAGGGCTCCATGTAGGGAGCTGAATGACTGGGCCGGGCTCATTAATCACTGTACTGCCATGCAGATAAGAGGGAACACTGCTCATGGGCCCCACACAGAGCCCGGATCGGCTATGTGCAGCCCTAGGACCACAGGTTGCCCACCACTGATCTAAGTAGTAGTGTGAGTTGTGTATTTAGTACTCCACTCTTAGGATGCATCACCTAACTACCACAGAGATATTCAAACTTCCTGAAATCTTGGAGAGTGTGGAGAGCATGCTTCTGTAGCAGTTGAACCAGCATATTTTCATTGTGTTTTACTGTTTGAATATAGTGAGTGTGAACCTTTAAAGAAATAAATATGCAGCACAGCACAGAGACATTTAGCATAGGATTTTTAATTTAAAAATAGCTTGCAAGATAAAAATTGCCATTCAAAATATATAAAACCTCATGTTCAGGAAATGAACAATTTCATACATGCATCGAGACTCACAGGATACAGCAAACTGCTTTAAATTGTTGTCTATCATGTTGGCCAAATCTCTTGCTGTGTATGTTCCTTTTTCAGTTTGAATAGAAAGACTTAACCAGTTAGTTAAATTATTGTCAACATTGTTTTATCCATTGCGACAGAATTAATGTGATCTCCAGTACATATTGCTTTTCATCTGCTTTAACTTTATGAGCATACAGATTAAAGCTCTGAATGGAAACAACGTTTCTAATTTATTTATGTGCCTGTTGTACTAGTAATGCACTACAACTAGACACGTATCTTCCTAAAAAAAAAAAAAAATCAGATATTAATCCTGCAGTACTGTATATCAGAGATTGGGATAGCACCGGGATTAGCAGATATACGGAGTGGGATAATGCCCTTTTATACCTACTATTTTTTTTTAAAAAAAACTTAATTATTTTCTATTACCATAGCACCCACAGGCCCCAAGCAAGATCATTGTTTGGTTATGCTAGGTGTTGACCATACGCAGAGATGGAGAGCTTGCAATGTGTATGTCTAAAACAGAGCTAGGAATATGATTCTAAAAACATGTCAGATTCCTCTTCCTATAGTCCCTTCTGCCATTTGTTTCTTTACTAATGTGCAGCATACCCAGAATGGATTTGGGCAATCAACAATAACTTTTTTGTTTTGGCTAAGAAATGTGGAAAACCGATCTGAAATATGACAAGTTTGATGAGTTAAGAAAACTGTTGCCACGCTTTTTTCATTTAAATTAAGATGGATAAAAACGTGAAGTTTCAAAGCTGTACTAAGTCAGTGTTCATTTATAAAGAACCATGTTTTTTTCACAATTACAATATTCCAGAGTTATGAACAACCTCCATTCCTGAGATATTTATTCTAGAGTATGTCTATATTGCAGCTTGAAATGAGCTTGCCCTAGTGGGGCTTTATTTGTATGATATAAATAGCAGTGTGGATGTTGTGGCTTGAGCAGCCCACAACCTTAGGAGGTCAGCACTAGGAATGTTAAATATTGGTTAATTGAATAGTTGATTAACCTCATGAATTTTTATTGGTTAGTTGACTACTGTATAGTCCCTGGGGGTGAGGCTGGCAGCCAAGTGTGCTCTATCCCCACTCTGTGCTGCTGCCTCTGTATCAGAGGCAGCAGTATGGGTTACCAGGTGGGAGCTGGTCCATGAGGGGAGTCAGTTAAAAAAACCAGTTCCCTCACAGACCGGCTGTCTGTCACCCTACACTGCTGCACAGCGGGGGGTGGCAGCAGCTCCTGCCTGTGGGAAAGAGCTGGACTGCGTTCCCAGACCCCGCATGAGCTGGAACTGAGCCAAGCTTCCTGCCTGGCTCCTAATACACTTTACATGCAGAGCCACAGCAGGGATAAGTCCCAGACCTGACATGAGCCAGGACTTAATCAGGCTGCTGGCTAACCTGCTAAAAATTTTACTAGCAAAGGAGGAGGAGGGGAAGAAATGTGTGTAGTCTATAACATTAACCTATAAGCTTTTGCTTATTGGTTAATTGACTACACTATTACATCCCTAGTCAGTGCATTAAATGAAGCAGGAATCCTCTGGAAAATCTGCATATGATCATGCAATTAACATGGTATCATAATGTGTATGCATAAGGGGCTGGAACAAAGATGTAGAAGCATTCTTAATTCTGTTATTTCCTAATTTTTGATTGCCTTTGCAACTTTAATATGCTTTCAGTGTGTGTTAGTATATTATATCCCAGGTTTTCTTAAAAAGCAAACTGAAAAAAACATAAATCCCATCATGTGAAACTGTTGACTCTATAGGCTCATTTACAGGCTCGGAAACATTAGATTCACATAGCACTGACCTCAGCCATTTGAGCTGACAAGAAAGCCAGTAGAAGAGTTAACCTACTACTGCTGTGTGGACAAGGCACTAGAGGGGGATGAGGCAAACAGTTTGCCAGGATGATTCACATATATTTGCTGTCTGCAAACAGCACTGGCACTTGGGAATCCGGGTTTTAGTCCAAGCTCTGAAGGGGAAGGTGCACCAGGAACTAAAGGCTTTTTGCCCTGTCTCTTTGCATGCACCACATGCTATCCCATTCTGTCCCTTTGCAGACTGCTTTCTTGCCACCACCTGCCTTTGATGGAATGAAACAGCTTCCTCCTTCTCCTTTATACAGCTTGACTGGAAGGGGAATATTGAGATATGGACATGTCTTCACTGCCTGTTGATTGAGGAGGTAGTGATCGATCCAGAGGGGGTTGATTTATCACATCTAGTATAGATACAATAAATTGACCACCAAGCACTTTCCTGTTGACTCCTCAAAACAAGAGGAAGCAGAGACATCTATT